GTTACAGAATATTCAGACACTCTGTCGATTAGAGATCGAGGCCTCGGGAGCTCACGATGAGCTTCTTATAGTTTGTGGCGCGGGAGGCTTTCTCTTTTTACTGAAGCTAGGACGATATTCTCTGGGCATTCAGGAGCAGCTACAGAGAAGGCGGAGAGCCTTCTAGATACATGATTCGAAGCTAAACTTCGTGACACCGGCTGTTGCATGACAACCACGAACCTACTGCTGCTACTCTGGCCCTAAGCTCCCAAACCCTGAAGGCATTGAACCCACAACTCCTACATCAAGATCTGATATGCTGTCGGGGGGTGGGGGGGTAGGGCTTGTGCCGCAATCATGGCCGGAGAATTTTGCCGAGGGCGTGCGAACTCGCAAGCAAAAGACACTTGGAGATGGCGCTGTCTCAATCAATGATAGAGCGGCCTTAACATTTAGAATAGGGTTTTGGGGTATATACTAGACTAGGCGGTACTTGTAACCAGGAGTCCTCCAAATTATGGGACTTCTGATTACAGCGCCGCACTGGCGGAACATGCCCCCTCCGATGAATGCTGGCAGCAAACTACTCGGGCGGAAGTCGGGCGGCCGGGTCCGTTTTACCGCTTACACAATCCGGGATGCATATACAAACCCAAAACCAGTACCCTAAACCCAAAACCCCAAAACCAGTACCCTAAACCCAAAACCCCAAAACCAAGAGACCCACGAGCCCTAAACCCTGATACCCTAAACCCCACACGTCCCAAATCCACCAACACACGGGACCCAACACCCAATACTCCGATAGCATGAACCCCGTTTTAGAATTTAGGGTTTCGGGTTTAGGGCCCAAAGCTTCAATGTCCTGAACCTCAGAACTAAGTATGATGTCTACTAAGTCTACTACCCGAATTAAACCCCAAACCTACCTAAAACCCGAAGCCCGAGTTGAAAGCCAAACCCCGAAACCCCAATCCCCCATAAAACCCTAAACCGTGAAACCTCAATCGCCCACAAAACCCTATACAAACCCCGAAACCCCAATCGCCCTATAAAACCCTCAAGCGCAGCCATAAACCCAAAGCCCCACAACCCTCAACCCTAAACCCTAAACCCTAAACCCTCAACCCTAAACCCTGGCTTCTGATTCCGCGCCTCTCCCGCGGCGCTGGCGTCGTCTTTGTCGGGCGGCTCTTCCGTCGATTCGTCCTCCAAGCAAAGGGCGACAAAAGGGACTTCGAGGTTTGTGGGGTTGGGGTTTAGGGTTTAGGNNNTTAGGGTTTAGGGTTTCGGGAGGGTTAGGGGTTCAGAGGTTCAGGCTAAGGCTCAACTAGGGCTGAAGAGCTCCAAGTTGAAATCAGGATTCGGGGGTGAGCTGGAGTTCTTTATCTTAGCTCCTTCCGCCCAACTCAACTCAAACTCCCAAAAAAACCTCTAAAGCTCTAAAGCCTAAAAGCTCCAAAAAATCTCGCGGCACCTCGGCGCGATCCGCGTTGCCTTTGAAGGAGGGCTCCGGGATCGCCTTGGAAGCTTCACGCCAAGACCAAACCAGCAGCCTCTAGCGGAGCAACCGGGTTTAGAATTTAGGGTCATCATCAAAGGGATGAGCTGAACTCATACTAATCCAGCAGAACTGATGAGAATGAATCTTCTTACAACTGGTCCATGATACTCTTTTCTGTCTCAGTCTTGCAGCTACTTTGCGTATTCATGATATATCTGCTTCAAACCTCCTTATGTTCAAAGAAACACTCCTTTGACTGTTCGTTGGTGGTACCACTTCTGGCTTTTGGTGCTATTGCCGTTCGACTCGCAGCCGGGTCCGTAGCCTCGGCAGCGCCCTCGTGCCAGTACAGCTCCTGGAAGGTCCCCGGCGGCTTGTCGACTCTGGGGCTCAGGATCTTGATTTGAGGATTTTGGGCTTTTGGATCTTAGGGCTGGCCTTGATTTCAGGGTTTACTTGGGCTTTTGGATCTTAGGGCTGGCTCTCTCTCGAGTTCAAATAGTTGCGACATCGGGTGGGCGTGAACGTGTGGAACCCTCAAGGCTTGTATGCAAATTTAACACAAATCCCCGGGACTTCGTAGCGAAACTCGCATCCTCAAAATCGAAGAGCAGCTCCTCACAGTCAGCATCCTATGCGTGGCTGTGCGTTGCTGGCGAAAAGCAGAGCTGTGATGCTGTGAGCAAGCCGTATCATCCGGCTATCACCCTAAAGCGAAAGTAAGCAAGCCAAGTTCTCCCAGAAGCCGCAAGCCCGATCCGGATGTCCCACTCCAGCGAAAGCCATGGTAAGAAGTCGCACCTCGTGGCGTGGAGACTGCCACGTTGCCCTGTGAGGGACCTTGCACTTGCCAGGACAAGTCTTCGAAATCGATCTCAGCATGCTTTCCCCCAAACCCTAAACCCCAAACCCAAAAACAGATTCTAGACTCTAGACGGAGACGAAGGTGCTAGCATTGATGCCCGTGGCTAGCTGGGATGGAAGCTGCTCTGTTGACAGCTACGGGCTACGGAGGATATGTTAGCCACCCGGACCCTAAAAAGACCGCAAAAGATAGGAATGCCTGGGAATTCAGTAGTAGTGCTGCGTAAGATGCGAGTGTATCTTCTTCCCCCTCCCCAAGACCGAAGGTTAGTGGAGAGTGGGCAACACAGTGCAAGACGAGCTGGATACCTGCACTGTCTGAGAAGCCTCGCACGAAGTCCCCAACACCGAGGAAAAGAACGGCAACTGTCAAAATGTGCAGCTTGAAGGTCAGCCTGCTAGAGTCATCCGGCTAAAGCTTTGCCAAGCAGCCACTTTGTATGAAAAAGTTCGGCCTCGATTGCAGAGCATGTCAGCCATGTCTACGATGCAACGGCAACAAACGACCCAGACTCCTGCACCATGAACGGAGCCGCACTCATTCCCAACAAAGTAAGTGCACGCATAAAGACGGACCGAGTTGTAGAAGCTTGAACCGACACATGCAGCTTCCTTGCCGCCAGCGTACCGCTGTTTTCTATGAGCTCTTCTGTTCCAGCAAATCTCCTGGGCTGAAGTCTCACATGAAACTCGGGACGCCGCGTTCCAGAAACTTCGAGACAGAAATCCCCGTTGAGTTTTGGTCTGGTCAGCAAAACCGAATTGCAAGACAAATCGAATTGCTTGATTCGATGTGCCAAGTTGAATTCCTGGATCTTGCAGGCACAAACCCTACAGCCAACTTCAGAGCCAAACAGGGTAGACGAACCACCAACATGAACCGAGTATCGCCACGCGATCTACGGTCTCACAAATCTCGTCGAAGTCCTCGGCCCAACGAAAGCACTGCTTGGGCTTTCCAGTGGACTGTGGCGAGCTTAGGTCGGGTTGCTGGCCTTCCGGACCTCGCAAAACGCTCCACCTTCAAACTCCAAACATTATAGTCTAATAGTCATTCGTCCTAAACATCGGGATTCGAGGGCCCGGCAGCCACACAACAGGCTGGCGACCGCCCGCAGCGCGGGGTAAAGCCAAGCAGCCCTGGCAGTGCTCTTTTTTCGCGAGGAGCCCGGTCATCTTTCTTTGCGCTTTCCAGATGTCGGGCTGTCGAATGAAAGAACTCTGGCCCTCGCAACTCGGTATGTTGAGCTGCAGATGTTTAAGGGTGTTGTCGCCAAGCTCAGATTTTTCACTATTCCAGCATGTCGTGGATTGGCGTGGCTGTGGACGAGCTTCGAGACATGACTATGCTGCATCAAACGCCGCACTGCTACCGACAGGTCTCGCAGAGATCTCGCTAGCGATGCCCTGGACATCATGCCCATACATGCGAGGCCCCGCCTGCAGGGCTCCACGACAACCACGACGACATCTTTGCGAGTATCTCTCGGAGCCCGTTCTGCAGCGCCGAGGATGACGACTGATTGTGTGACGACCGCAGCTGACGGCGCGTCTCTGGTCTTCTGGTAGGCAGCGACTCTCCCTCAGTCTTTGATGCGAAGAGAAAGAAGGCTACAAGATCCGGGCATAATTTCGGGGCATGAATAACTTGAATAGGGTTTATGAGTATGTTAGACCATTATTATAAAAAGGAGCCCCAACACAGCATAGGTAATTATTTAGGCCCCGATATTATCTAGCCAGGGAAGACCAAGCTTGGAGTCCTGCGTGTCTACCTGAAGAGGGACTAAGAGGTCCAAGCACCCAGGTCTGGACCCTTAACCCTAAACTTCCCCTTAACCCTTAACCCTAAACTTCCTAAACCCTTGACCCTAAACCCAAAACTTCCTAAACCCTTAACCCTAAACCCAAAACTTCCTAAACCCGCAAACCTTAAACCATGGCCAAGCCCTGGAGTGCACTCTTGGGCGCGCAGAGCTTCAGATCTCAAGGCTTCGGGGAGCCCAGGCCTACACCTCCACGGCTGAACATTCTAGGAGCGCTTTAGGGTGTAGTGTAGGGTGTAGGGTGTAGGGTTTAGGGTTTAGGGTTTAGGGTTTAGGAGCGAAAGCTCGAGTGGAAGTAAAAAACAGCGGAATAAAAGGTCTAGGTGACCAGAACGACGAGAAATAACTAGGAATAACGTGAGTTGGTCCCTATGTAGTTATGGCTTAATAAAGCCCCAAGTACCTTGAATAGCGGAGTCTCAAGTACAAGCCTCATCGGGATTCTCGTAGCCTGAAATAGCCTACCTCAATCCCTACCACCCAGCATAGAAACCCTAAAAACCCCGGCGCCCGAACTCCTGAAACAATACAGGCACACCCCGGATCCCGAATCCCCCGAAACCCTCCGGGAATTGCAGACTCCTCAGCCCGCACTCCAGTCCGAAGAGTCCCTCTGCCTCGGGAGGAGTCATAGGGCTTTGGGTTTCGGGGTCTTCCGAGGCATCCGGGGGGGGAGGCACGTGCAACTGTTCATAAATATCAGAACGCCACGGCGGTGAAGAGGCATCTCAGAGAACAAGCTCATGATCTCTACGCCGGAAAAGAGCCGAGCAAAGAGCACTCTGTGGAGTTCGGGTGAACACAGAGATCGTGACCTTTATTGGTCAGAACAGAGTGTTGTCCGCCAGCATGTCTTGAGCAACCGCCTTCAAATGCTCGAGATCCTGGCTCTTGTTCTCCAGCACCGCCACCTTGCCCGTGTCGGCCCCGCCGAGTGCATCGAGTTCAGCGATCGACGGACGCTGGAATCCGGCACTGTTTGGCTCCAGCAACCTAGCCCATTCCTCTGCCGACTTACCCATTGCGGCATACTGCTTCGCGCAGCGCTCGGCAGCTCGTTGGATTGCTAGTTTAGGCGAGGGATCCACGAAGATCCATCGCGCAAGGCGGTCACCAAGTTGGCTCTTGACGAAGAGGCGCATCGAGCGGCGGTAGACAGCATGCGTTATGAGCACAACACAGTTCTGACCATCATCGTTTGCCTGCTGCAGTTGCTTCGCCCCAACACGAAGCGCATCTTCACACATTGCGGCGTAAAAAGGCTGCCACGATGAGGCATGTTTCTCGTCGTCTTGGTATGCATCTTCATCGGCATCGCCAGTTGTTTCTTCCTCCTTGCCCTTACTTCGGAACTCGGCCAGAAACGTCGAGATGGCTGTCATTCTCTCGCGGAAGGGAGTGTCATCTTTCACCTTCGACTCCGGTGGAGGATTGGGCCCGATGGTTGGATCGTACCCCAGCGCCCACACGTCGCCATCAAACAGAACTACTCGAGGGTGCTGCTTCTTAGCAGTCGCACAGGAGAAGAGAGCTTCCGCGAAGGCAGACTTTCCCGAGCCCTGTTGACCAGATATGAACACAATCTTGACACGGCTCTCCACCTTCGAATCTGACGACGAGACCTTCTGCTCTTCAGCGTCGGTCGCGCTGGCATCAGCAGGCTCAGACTGATGCCGTGGAGAATTCGACTCACTCATGGCCTTCCGCTTCCAAGTGAGGAAACCGCGCTCACATCGTCCCAACAGTTCAAAAAACTGCAATGCTCTCACAGGTTTGAAACAGTGAAACAGCTCAGCTGTTGTGAATTTGTGTCTGTGCGGTCTAGGAAGAAGCTCAAGCAGAACTGAGCTGAGCCAAGATCAGTCCTCTTTCCCCGTCCCTTCTTGTGTTTACGGCAGTCTTCCCTGCCGTCTTCATCCTCTTCATCGCTGGAAGATGAGGAAACCAGGGGGAAGGTAAATTGGAGGTTGTGGGTTAGAGGTTTCGAATTTAAGGTGTAGGGGTTTGTGCATGCGTGTACATGCATGCTTGATATAGGTACATATGCATGATACATCCCTGGAGATATGTGTCCGCATGTGTGCGTGTGTGTGCAAGTGACGACTGGTATCTCGAAACCAAGCTTCAAGCTTTCTGAAGGGGCTAGCTCACACATGCCGGATCTGACCTCCAAACCTGCTGCATAACCGCATCACCACGTTCCTACAATTTCCTACTTAATCGAACTCTGGCGCATCTCCACAAAAAACCTCTGATGGCAACTGCAGTCGTGCGCCACTGCTTCGACCCAGCAAAGTGGTCAGCCGGACAAGAGGCTACGAAGAACGTTCGAATACTCCACAAAGCTCACACCCGCCCTAAACCCTAATGAAGGGGCCAAAATAATTACCTATATTATTGTGGGGGGTTCCTTAGTATAATTATAGTATAATGGGCCCCAAAACCTTATTCAAATATTGAGCCCCCGGCCCTATATTCACCTTGAACCTTAAAGCCCTAAGATCTTCTGGCCCTTCAAAAGGCCCGGACGTTTGTAAATGGCGGCATGGGGCTTTGCGCCATCCGCCTGACGAGTGATCCGCTCATGCAAAGTAGCAGCCGACTCCTGTCTTCATACCCCAGCCCCTAAATGGGTTTAATAACGGGCTCCGGGGTTGAATAATGGGCTTAGGGGATTACGTAGGGTTTAGGGCCGTTTAGGGTAGTTGTAAATCCTAAACCCTAATTCACCCGATCTTTGGGAGCAACTGGTCTCCCTTCAGCCCCTTTTCCTTTTTGCGAAACCTAGCACAGCTCTGCACCCAAAAACCTCAACCCAAAACCCTATACCCTAAACCCCAAATCCCCTAACCCTAAACCCTATACCCTAAACTCCCAAACCAAGTCCACTTCGAAGTGAAGGCACACCGCAACCCGTTTACGAGACCAAGCTCAAGCCTCGAGCTGGGTTTGAAAGTTCAGCAAATAGTCGTATGCACGTGTACACACATATATATACGTATATATACACACATGTGTGCGTACGTATGTATGTATGTATG